CTCGACAGAAGTGATAACTTCATAAATTAATAGAAACCATAAAATATTGAACTTGTTTAACGCATGACGGCAATAATAATTTTATTTTATAATTTTGATATTCGTGTTAGTCTAATAATTTATAAATGAATCAGGAATAGGTAAAATTTAATTTAATTTCCTTTTTAATGTAAAATATCTTTTATTTGCAACATTTAACATTCTTTAACGAGATGTTGTACATATTGCTCTTCTTGGGTTTGTGTAAACTCTTCTTCTTGAGTTTCTGTATTTTTTAGTCTTAATTTCTCATTTGCCTTGTATAATCTTTGACGTTCAGCACTAGTTCGTGGTTGATGAAAGCTACTTTTAGTTGATCTATTACTTAATGCTCCTTTTGTAGCACGAAATCGTGTTTGGCGTTCAGCATTACTTAATACTTTTCGCATTGTAGCATGTTTTTGTGACTGCTCTTGTGTATGTTGTTCATGAACGTCTGCTACAACTTGTATCTGAATAAGACTCAAAATCAATTAATTTTGGTGATTGGAAGACGTTCTATCTGTTTAAAACAGACGGTAAAACGAGGAAGAGCTAACATAATGTAAACCATTGCGCGTATGTTCAAAAAAAAAATCAAAGTGAACTAATCCAAGGCTAAAAACATTAAACTAAATTGAGTAGATTTAATCATAAAGGAATCAAGGGGTATATGAGGGAAAAAAATCAATTTTAAAACGTGGGAAACACAATTAATCATAGAAATAATAAAGAGAATTGAAAATAAGTCCTAATAAATTCGTTCGTCGAGAAAAAAAAAACTGCACTGAACACAATAATATCACACTCAATAATTGATAAATCAAAATCACTGTCGGGGGTAATTGCACAAGTGCTTCAAAATTACCGATAATTTTGCATGAAAGCTTGTTGTCTAAAAACTGCATGAGTTTATTTTCATATTGTGGCGAAAAAGCCCGACTCCGAAGGGGGAGGGCTTTTTCGTTCCAATGTGAAAATAAACTCATGCAGTTTTTACAAGACAACAAGCTCGAATGCAAAATTATCTGTTCATTTTGATGCACGAGTGTAATTTTTATGAATATTTCCGAGTAAACAAAGAAAATGTGGATTCATTTTATTTCTATTATATTTTATTACCCTTTAAATTTTATTACTTCTGTTTATTAAATTTAATTTGAATATCTTAGGTATGT